TCAGTCATCCAGTCCCCAAGGTTCTTTTTCACGAGGCAACTGGACTTTCTCTTTTTCTCTTTGAAGATGTTTCACTTCTCGTCCAAGAAGCTTCTTCAGCTCTGACTGGATAGTAGGGAATGCAAGGAGTATAACTCCTTCCATTCCCCACCATCCAGTCAGAGCTGAAGAAGCTTCTTGGATGACAAGCAAAACGTCTTCAAAGAGAAAAAAAGAAAGCCCAGTTGCCTTGTGAAAAAGAACCCTTGGGACTCTCTAAGCTGCCTTCATTTGTGTTTCTCTAAAGGCATTGGTCAACAATTCCAAACAGCTTAATCTGTGTAGTATCTTGGTTGAAGAACTGGGGAACACTGGAATTGTAGTATAACACTTAAGATAAGATAACCTTTATTGTCATTTTTTTTTACTGTGGGCACAACGGCACACATAAAAAATGAAATTTAGTTGCCCACTCTCAAAGTGAAACATATACATGACACACACCTAAACATACTATGTACAACATATGTATAGACCCACACCCCTACATATACATAACAAATAAATATTAAATACTGTTACTCCAGATGAGATATGCTTACAATTGATTATGATTAACACCATAATTTATCAGAGTTTGCTGCTTGGATACTCTTCCTGGTACCTCCCTTTGATGATTTGCTTTGTGCGTTATCCAAACTGCACTTATTGAAACTACCAAATAAAACTTTTTTACTATTCAGCTAGAATGCGGGTTTAGCATCTCAAATACAGTCACAGCTTGTATGCTTTGCTTACAAACAAAGCATGTCCTGTTATAACCTTCAGTCTCTTTCTCACACCTTAATTTGGGGTTTGCTTGGAATTTTTGCAGCCAGAATTTGGAATGCAGAATTTGGAAAGCAGTGCATATTCTACAGTGCAATTTCTGCAAACGATTGTAGTTCTCACCTTGCAACACCAGTATGTCTTTGGAAAGTAACCTCAGACCTGGGACTTTAAATGAGATGACTACAGTAAAACTGATACTAGTCTGATTTTCCCACCTCCCGACCTTGCCAATCATCAATCGGCTCCACTCAGTAAGATCTAAAAGGGTGATGTAATCCAGCATTCCAAGGACTTTGGAACGCTGCAGACATAAGTTCGCCAGCTTTGTTTTCTGACAGGGCCGTTCCTTCATAGATGAAGCGTATAACAGAAAAATTGGCAGATTCTCCACTAGCACAATATCTGCACCTCAGGAAAATTGCATGTTAAATGTCCTTGTGCTAAGTGGCTGTTAAAATTGTCAAGACCATAGCAGAAAAAATTTAAACACCTATGGTGAGAAAAATTATCAGCCTTCAGATGTGGATTCCTGGCTTCACTGAAGCCCACCATTATTTGCTTATTGATAAAAATGAGCAATTTAGGCAGCTCATACAGTGTCTAGAAAATAAGAAAAATGATTCCTGAGGCCTCTCAGTTTACTATATGAGTTTCTGAGCACACTGCATTTTTTCTCCTGCTCACCTATTTCAGTAGGCACAATGTGCTCCTATCAAGAATATTCTCTCTGTTTTAAAGGGCTTGCATTCATAAACACCATAAAACAATGACTCATTACCTGACTCAAATGTTAGCTTACATATGGTTACTCCAAAGCCTTTAGCAATAACTTACTTGCATCAGTTTGACTCAGTTACCAGGTGGTAGCAAGAATTCCTGAATGACAACATAATTGCAGTGAGGTGTGCTGTATAGATCCAGATAATTGTAATTAATTTAATAAACCATCAAGAAGCAACTCAAGACTTAACGGGCTGTGTGAAAAATGGCCACGACATATGAAAAGTTTTCGGTGCTTGAAATGTGGGCTGTAAACAATGGAATGCAAGTAACCATAGTGATACCACAGAGCCAAATATTAGCTTGCTTGAAGCATTCATAAAGAGAAGCAAGTGGGACTTGAACTCCACTCTTGTCTAATCCATCATAAAAGTATGTTTCCCGTCTAGGTTGCAAAAATCTAAGTGGCTGATAGCAGATGGCAGTAAAGCAATAGGAAAACCTGAATACTGCCTTCTAGTGGTCATCCACATTTTTGCAGCCCAAATGTAACCTGCCTGTATTGGAAAGATACATAATGAGGCTATAAGGGGAACATTGTGCTGGGATTCAGAATTCCTGTGCTTAAACTAATGAGATCGCTGGTGAAATTAGTGTTTCCCAAGGTCATACGAACTGCCATCTCATAAAAGAAGTACAGTACATTTTTCTGTAAGATGTTAAAGAAAATTAACCTATTATTCTTGCATTAATTGTTGTGTCTCTGCAGTTTTCAAGTTGTAGTGCTCGGCCTATCACTCAGGACTTGTCCTATCCTTGTGGCATGTTGTTGGATATTGTACACTGCAAAGGAAGCTGTTCATATCCAATGCTGCTCCTGGCTATTTCTTAAACATAATTTGAGAAGTTTTTAATTTGGATTATACAGGCATGGGAACAGCAGTAAATCTGGACAATAGTGATTGCATTTTCCCTTTCCCCTCCACACAGAGAAAACAAACTTTGCTGATTGGCTCCTGTGCGGGCTAGTCTACCTTTTAGGAATGGTTCTCTTCTCATTAGTCCCCATGCCTTTCCTTTGCTTTCCCAGATGTTGTTTCCAGACATGGATACCTTCATGTCCTCTTCTCACACTATCTTCTTTGACACTAATACAGACCCTTCCT